AATAAATAAATTTGTAACTTCTTCCCAAAAATAAATTTTAGAAACCAAAAATAAATCTTGATACCAATTTTGAAAAGGTTTTCGTATGACAACAAGCTAACAACACAAATAATAATTAAACACATATAGCACATGCAATTCACGTAACAAGTATTTATCATGCCACAAATAATTTAAATCAGTTTAAGAGCAATTAGGCATGTAAATAAATCATTCAGGAAGATTAATACACATATATGAAAATTTACTTGCATTTCAAGTAACAAATTAAACTATCATGTGATTAATCTCAAGATTTCTAAAAAATTGCATATATTTATCAAATCAATTTTGCATGACACATAATTACACGTAACAAAACACATGCAAATATATAAACAAATAGATAACACATATTGTAAAATTATTCACGTAATTTTCAATTAAAAACATGAACAAAAAGTGCTAAATAAATTAAATTGAGCACGTGTATCAATTAAAATAAGGAAATTAAGTCCAGTGATACTTAGCTCAGTTCGATCATTCCCAATTCGTGCCTTAAGGTAACACATATTGTTTCGCATAAAGGCTTTGTGAGAATGTCTGCAACTTGATTCTCCGTAGGGATATACTCGATTTTTAGATCTTTCTTTTCAACATGATCCCTTATGAAGTGATGTCGAATGTCGATGTGTTTGGTTCTTGAGTGAAGCACCGGATTGTTAGTAATCGCAATTGCACTAGTATTATCACAATAAATACTAACGTCATAACAATTTACTCCATAATCTTTCAATTGTTGCTTCATCCACAATATTTGTGCACAACAACTCCCTGCAGCAATGTATTCGGTCTCGGCGGTACTAGTTGCGATGGAATTTTGCTTTTTGCTAAACCAAGAAACAAGCCTTCCCCCAAGAATTGGCATGTCCCGAAAGTGCTTTTTCTGTCTATTTTACAACCTGCAAAATCCACATTTGAAAAACCCATTAGAGTAAAATCTGTACCTTTAGGATACCATAATCCTATGTTGATCGTCCCTTTCAAGTATCTTATGATTTTCTTGGTTGCGGTGAGATGACTTTCTTTTGGATTTGCTTGGAATCTCGCACACACTCCCACATCATAAGATATGTCTGGCCGGCTTGCAGTGAGATGTAGAAGTGAACCAATCATTCCTCTATATTTTGTTTGATCGACATCCTTTCCATCTTCGTCTTTGTCTAGCCTTAATGATGTACTCATTGGAATCTTAATTGACGATTTTCCATCAAGGCCAAACTTCTTGATCAAGTTGCGGGTGTACTTGGCTTGATTGATGAAAATTCCTTCTTTCATTTGTTTAACTTTTAAGCCCAAGAAGTAATTTAGTTCACCCATCATGCTCATTTCAAATCTTTTCTGCATAAGCTTTGAAAACTTCTCACACAAAGAATTGTTAGTGCTTCCAAATATAATATCATCAACATATATTTGCACTAATAAAATATGTTCACCATCTTGAATTCTAAATAAAGTTTTATCAACTTGGCCTTTGGTGAATCCACAGCTTATCAAGAACATTGACAAGGTATCATACCAAGCTCTTGGTGCTTGTTTTAATCCATACAATGCCTTTTTAAGTTTGTAGACTTTGTCACCTTCGCCTCTTACCTCAAAACCTAGGGGTTGTTCAACATAAACTTCTTCTTCAAGTAATCCGTTCAAGAATCCGCTCTTGACGTCCATTTGGTAGACGGTGAAGTCCTTGTGTGCGGCATAAGCTAGGAAAATTCCTATTACTTTGAGTCTTGCTACGGGTGCAAAGGTTTCATCAAAATCTATTCCTTCCTCTTGGAATATCCCTTTGCAACGAGCCTTGCTTTATTCCTAACAATTACGCCGTCTTCGTTTGCTTTGTTCTGGAATACCCATTTTGTTCCTACAACATTATGATCACTTGGTCTTGGAATGAGTTCCCAAACGCCATTTCTTTTGAATTGATCAAGTTCCTCTTGCATGGCGTCAATCCAACTTGGATCGTTTAAAGCTTTGTCCACTTCCTTTGGTTCGATTTGAGATAAATCTTCTAGGAGCTCTATGCTTTTATCTCGTAGGAATGTGACTAGCTAACAAAATATAATAATAATAATAATAATAATAATAATAATAATAATAATAATAATAATAATAATAATAATAATAATAATATAATAATAATAATAATAATAATTATTATTATTATTATTATTATTATTATTATTATTATTATTATTATTATTATAGTAATAATAATAATAGTAATAGTAATAGTTGTTGGGGGCATTTAAAGGGAAAGGCTTGTTTTAGCTTAACCAAGTTGTCCCACATTGATAGTTTAACCTCTCTTTTCCCTCCTTATATACTCCAAGCCCTTTGAGATGGTTTGAAGTGTTATGAGAAGGGAAAGGAGGTAAACCGCGCGCGCACCGCCGCCCGCCCGTCCGGCTCGTCACGACGCGCGGTGTGGTAGGGTCAACGGTTTGCTCCCAAAACCTTCTTTCTACCCTATTTTTATGGATCAGTTAGTGACCTTGTCCGCACAACATAGTAAATGTGCGTACAGGGGTGGTCTTCGCTAATTTATAGTCCTATTCTTATGGGTAGTGAATGGTTGGCTGTTGCACATGCTTTGCTATATAAAGGTGATGTTCATATGTTGTTAAATGCAATAGAAGAGCTGTTCGAATAGAACACTGCATGTCGCGTGTGCCTGTAAGTCCGAAAACAGTACTGCGCATTTGCTTCCAGTTCGAAAACACCACCTTATATATATCTGCCTGAGAGTTTGTTCTGTTTTGCCGGTCGAAAGCATACGACTCAATCCCTGGTCGTGAATGTTTTTAAGGCAGTGTGTTACACACGATATAGAACCGAGTCTTTGTCTTTTTCGTTCCCAAGCTTTCGTCCACAGTGCAGGAAAAACCCAACAGTTAAAAACATTCATATATCAAGTTTGAGTCGAAAAATGTGTGCTACAAACACTGTGTCTGATATTGCTCCTATTCAACCACTCATTGGTGGTTTGAACTACAAGAGATGGGCTGCAAAATTAATCATGCTTCTGGAATCAAAGGATGTGGACTATGTCCTTTTTGCAGACCCTGCGAAGTTCAATGTGCCTACTACGCAACTTGCACTGCAGACCAGGACTTCAACTGCTGCGACAGACCCGAAGCCTACAGATGGTACGGCTACTGCAGATGCTTCCACGGACCTGAAGTCATCATCAGTTCAAGATACATCTGTGGCCGAGGCAGCTCGCATCAAATACGAAAAAGATAACAAGACTGCCCGGACAACCATTCTTCAACGTGTAAGTGACCCGTTGTTGAGAACCAAGTTAATCTGACGGAGAACACAGAAGATGCTGATTTAGTAGCTGCAGTAGTAACTGAAGCCAACATGGTGGAAAATCCAGACGAGTGGGTTGTGGACACTGGAGCCTCACGACATTTTTGCAACAACAAAGCTTCATTCAAAACCTTTGAGCCTATCACTGGTGGAGAACAAGTCTTCATGGGAAACTCCAGCGTTTCCGAGGTAAGTGGTAGAGGAAAAGTAGAATTACTGCTTTGTTTTAGAAAATATTTACTGTTGCAAAATGTGCTTTATGTCCCTTCCCTTCGAAGAAACCTGATTTTCGGAGGCCTTCCTAATAAGGCTGGAATTAAGATGGTTTTTGAGTCTGACCGTCTGGTTATGACTCGTTGTGAGAAGTTCATTGGGAAGGGATATCTGCGTGGAGGTCTTTTTGTACTAGATGTCTCTATAGTTAACAATCACTCTGATGTATCTGGTTCTTCTCTGAATGCTCGCGATAATAAGAATGCTTCTTTTGCTTATACTGCTGTATCAGTTAATGCTTGGCATGTTAGATTAGAACATGTTGGTGAAAAATGTTTAAATAGACTGAAAAACGTGAATATGCTACCAAACCTGTCTAATGATACATGTGAACAATGTGAAACATGCGCTGAGGAAAAATTTGCTAGAACATCCTTTTTAACTGTAAAGCATCTGATACTGCTAATTATACGTAAGCAATATAAAATAACCCGAGATCGAGTAAAGCAAATAAAAGACTTTATTGATCACGGTAAAGGCCCTAAGTACAATCTACTTGGTTGCTCTGAGTGCCGACTGACTGCGGTCGGGATGCTCTAATAACAACCTATCGATCGTCCAAAAGTCCCTTACACTGTAGCTACTGTGGGTATTTATAGCCGCTATGCCGGGGACAGGATTCCAGCCGTTCGGCATGTCCTCCACGTAGCCACCACGTGTCATCCTCCCGGGTGCCCTGTCTGTCGTCGTAAAGAGCTGCCACGTGTCCTTTTGCCAGCTCTCTCGCCAAAGGGCTACCGCTCGGTGGTCGACACCAGCGCTCGGGCAATTCCCGGTCGCTTCCCGACCGGGGTCTTCATGGAAAGCCCGACCTGCTACCTGCAAAGACAAAAAGACATAGACAAAGGCAAGTCGGTCGTGGTGGAGCTTATGTCGGTCGGGATATTCCCTACCAAAAGCCCCCCAGCCCGGGCCTTTTTGATCATCCGGGAAAAAACGGGACGGGATGAAGAAGCCCAACCGTCAGCTACCAAATTGATCGGCCAGCTGTCATTCCCTCCCTCGCCACGTGTCGGCCACTGCTGGCCTCGACGACTGCAACGGTTGCCTCGGAATCAGCGCGGGTCGCGTCAAGCAAGTGGGCTCGTTTCCCGCCTAAATGCTCTCCTATAAATAGGCCCTTGAGGCTCTCATTTGAACTTTCCTCACTCTTTTGCTTCAGTCGGTACTCTCAGAGAGCTCCGAGCAGAGCACCTTAGCAAGGCAGTCGAGCTAAAAACTTCAAGCTTTCATCCGCAAAGTTCCTCCACTCGGTAAGCTCTCAACCCCTCCTTTTACTTTGCGTTTTCATTCATGAGTAGAGCTGATAGGCCAACTAACTGTCCCGGACGTCTCAAGTCCCTTACTAACCCCGACCGACCTTTAGGTAGATCGAAATGACGGATTCTGACAGTCAAAATGCCTCGATTGGGGACTATGATGAGGAGGTCGAGTATCTCAGCGACGAGGAGGTGGACATCATGTCCTACTCACCCGAGGACATCCACCGACCGGCGCCAGCCCCCGAGCGGATTTCCGAACAAAACAACGCGTCAAGCTCCTCCGGGTCATCGAGCTCCAGCTCAAGCGGATCGGGGAGTTCCAGCGAAGAGGAAGAAGAAGGAGCCTCATCAGACAGACAAGGTTCCCCGACCGAAGGCGTTAGGGAAACGCCTACCCGGGTGGTTGGGGACCACCCGGAAACTGCTCCTCGACGAGGCGACCGGGAAAATACTCCCGAGCCGGCCGAGGAAGATACAGCTGGGCCGAGCGCGCCAGCAGTCATAGAGTTCGAATTCTTGAACAGCGAGAATGTCGAACAACAAATTAGCCGACTGACCAAAGTTGAAGCGGCTAAGATCGCCGAGAGGCTCAGGGGTCGGGTAGAATTCGACACGAGCCGGAAGCTAGGGAATGTCATCGATCAGCATCGGGGCAAATGGATCGGGATGCACTATGATTCCCTGATGGCCCCGATCGCCATTCCCTTCCCCCCCCCCCCCCCCCCCTCTTGAACGCCTTCTTGGCCTACTACCGGGTCGTCCCGGCCCAGATCTGCCCCAACTCACACCGGATCATCGCCTGCTTCCCTCAGATATGCTCCCGGCACGAGGCCGCTTGTACGATGGAGTTATTCAACTACATCTACCAAGTCAAAGTTCTCCCGGGCAGCTATGGAGGCGGGTTCCTAATGTTGCAGTCTCGAGCGGATATGTGCGCGATCAGAGGCCTGCCCGGGAACAACAAGGGGTGGAAGAATAGGATCTTCTCCATCAAGTACGACCCTTGGATTCTCCCGGTCGACCGTGCTTGGAGCACCCACTTCCGGAAACAAGTGGTGCCGGACGAGACACAAGCGCTCAAGGAGACGGTCGCTCGGATCTCGAGCGAGCTTCACGAATACACAATCTTTCGAACGGCCGAGAGTCTCGAGGCGGCTAAACTCCCGCCCCCTACATACGAACTACGGGAGAAATATCTGCCCGTGCCGATGGGCGTGACGGTCGCTAAGCCGTCGAGGCGGAAGAAGAAAGGTTTAACCCGAGCTTCTCTTCCCGATCTAACTTAATATCCCGATCAATCTAACTCTGCTTCTTTATTTGCAGCCATGGCAGAATTCGGAGACGAGGATGCCCCCCTTCCCCCGCCCGCCAAGATCTCCCTTGGCGGCAAGAAGAAGGCGAAGGTGAAGCCAGCCGGGGAAAAGGAGATCCCCTCGTCCCGACCGCTAAGCGCCTCGACCGTGACGACGGCCGAGGGCTTCGTCGTCGAGCCCTCAGACGTCCTGGTCACCCGGGTGGAAGTCGCCCGTGGTAAGGAGAAGGTCTCCGACCGGGGCGTAACCGAGGTGGGCGGCATGAAACGCCGTCGATAACAACGCAGTCCGAGCCCCTCGGTCGGGCGAGGGAAGGACGACGCTTCCATACTGGCCCGGATTGGCAACGCCGGGCCAGCTAGGGAGGATTTGGGGAAGATGACCCCGACCCAAGTGGCCGAGAGGATTGGCCACGACTTGGCCGAGGTAAGCTTTCTCCCACTGCCTTTCTCTTTTGTACAAGTATCTTCATCCGGGCTAATCCCACATATCTTTTTGTACCGCAGATTTCCCGAGCGGCCCAGCTCCTACAAGGTCGGGCCATGCTGGCCGAGGAAGCCGACCATCACAAGAAGACGGCCGCTCGTCGCTTGAAGGAAATCAAGGACATCCAGGCCGAGCTGGAGAAGGCCCAAAAGGGCCTAAAGAAGAGCGAGGAAGACCGGGTTCTCGCAGAGAAGGTCGCTCAACGGGCGATCGGGGAAGCCAAGGAGCTGAAGGCCCGACTCGACAATCCGAGCGAGTTGGTGCAGTCTGTCTTCAAGGACAGCGAGTCGGGCTCGGCGTTTCTCACAGCGGCCCGGGGAACAAAGGTCGGAGAAGACCTAATCCTCTCTTTTGGACGATGGGCCTTCAAAGCCGGGCAACGCAAAATGCTCGAGCGGGCTCGTACCCGGATGGAGCAAGCTCTTGAAGGAGACGACCTCCAGCTGGTCCTATCGACCTTGCCCCCAGACCTAGCTGACCCCGGTCCCTCTCCCTTCGCTCCGAAAGAAAGGGCGGCCGAGCCTGGTGGATCGTCTGCGGCCACTCCGAGCGGGAAGGAAGCGGCTGCTAGAGCTCAGGAAGTGAAGAAGTAGAATAGGCTTCTTCTTTTTGCAAAGGACCACTGATCGGGAGCCCGGTCCCGAATTTGTACCGGGCACTCTTTTCCAATCAATGAAACTCGTTCTTTGTTGTCGTTCGTCTTTATTTCTGCTTTTTACTTTTAGTCATGCACATGCCGACCCTTAATGCTCGACCTCATGGCCTTTTGGCCCAGTCCTGCACTACTCGATCCGTTCGACGCCCGACCTTATGGCCTTATGGCCCGGTCGTGCGTTCGAGATTTCGACGTCCTACTGGCCAACCTGATCGGGTTTACCCGATCTCCAAGCCTTGTCGAAATTTCGAGATTAACCAAGCCTCCATGTTCAGGATATCTCCGAACAACGGACTTATGTCAACGTCCTCTTTGGCCAACCCGATCAGGTTTACCCGATCTTCAGGCCTTGACGAAGTTTTGAAAATGTGTAAGCCCCCGATAGTCGAGTTTTCCCGAGCGATGAGCCTACGGACACTCCCTTATCCCAGCCCTCACACTATTGTGCTCTCGAGGCACGAGTGAGTGCGATAGTGGACAGGAGTTGATTAGATCGGGCAATTATGCTGTGTGCTCCTGGCTTCCCCGATCAGTGGCGTGACTCGCATGTCCGCCGATGTGGAGCGCATTTGACCGGTCGATAGATTTGCCCGGTCGTTGCAACTTGAAGATGAATTGATCTGCGTGCACTGAAGGTAAAGAAAATAACCGACCGGGCCGCCGCATGCAAGCGGTCAATTAATCACCGATCGTATATACATTAAAACCTTCCCGCTCGCAGGCGGTTAATATCTACAAACATAGGAATTTAATTACAAACGACGACCGGGACCTACACACAGGTCAAGCCCCCTCTTCGTCCAAAGATTACAAAAAATAGGCTTAATGCCTAAACATAACGAGGTGCTCGGAATTCCAAGTCCCCTCGATTACCCGACCGGTTGTCGTCTCCAGTCAGTATGTACCCGGCCGTATGATCGCGCTGATGATGTACAGCCCTTCCCAGTTTTGAGCTAGCTTTCCGCCCTCTAAAGGTTGACTGGCCTCCCTTCGTCGTAGAACGTAATCTCCAACTTGGAAGTAACGAGGGTTGACCCGAACGTCTTTCGAACTCTTAACACGCTTTTGGTACTCGGCTATACGCCGAGCGGCTAGCTCTCTTTTTTCTTCGACCGCATCGAGATCCACGGCCATCGCATGTTCATTCTCCTCCGCATTGTAGGTTCTCTCTCGATCGGTCGGGATCCAAGCCTCGATCGGGAGTCGGGCTTCAGCTCCATAAACCAGGGCGAAAGGGGTCTCCAAAGTAGCTTCCCTCGGGGTCGTCCGATAAGTCCACAAGACATATGGCAACTCATCGGCCCAACTACGACCAGCCGAGTGTAACTTCTTTTTAAGACCTTCCAAAATCGTCCGGTTGGCATTCTCCACTTGACCGTTTCCCTGCGGGTAAGCCACCGACGATCGGACGTGAGTCGTCCCGATCGTGGCCAAGAAGTTCTGGAAATATTGGCTTACGAATTGGCGACCATTATCGCTGATGAGATGTACGGGCACGCCAAAGCGGGAAACTACATTGCGCCAAAGAAAACGAGCACATTGCTGAGAGGTGATCGTGGATAAGGGCTCGGCTTCTATCCACTTGGAGAAATAATCAATGGCAACAATCACGAACTTTCTCCGACCAGAGAGCTGAGGGAAGGGGCCCAAAATGTCCACCCCCCACCTAGCGAAAGGAATGGCGGTCGTGACTGGCTGGTAGAAGGTTGCCGGTCGTCCAGACATCCGGGCGAACAGTTGGCACGTCTCACATTCCCGAGCTAACTTTTCACAGTCTAGCTGGAGGGACGGCCAGTAGTACCCGATTAGCATGATACGACGAGCCAGGGATCGGCCTCCTTGATGTGAGGAGCAAATTCCCGAGTGAAGTTCCTTCATGACTAAATCGGCCTCAAATGCGGTCAAGCAACGCATGAGAGGGCCTCCATACGATCGCCTATAAAGACGGCCGTCCAAAACTTGGAACCTCGGGGCTCTCAGCTTGGCTTTTCGAGCACACTGGGGGTCGTCTGGAAGTCGACCGTGCTCGAGGAACTCCTTCAGATCGGTGATCCAATCGTCTTCTGCCGGTTGGATTGGATTGACCGGTAGACGATGGATGCTGTGTCTCGGGATCACCAAAATCTGAGCTATCTTCGACATGTGTTCCGGGGCGTCTCGAGCCAATTTAGATAAGATATCTGCGTCGGCATTATCCAATCGGGGTATATGTCGGACGGTATACCCCCGGAACTGAGCAAGCTTCTCCATGGCAAGGTCTCGGTAGAGTTGCAGGCGCTCTCCATTGACTTCATAATCCCCGAGAACTTGCCCGACCACGAGCGCGAAATCCGTTTGTGCCCGGATGTATTCAGCCCCCAAGTCCCGAGCGCACTGTAAGCCATTAACAAATGCTTCGTATTCGGCTTCATTATTGGTCGGGTGGAACTGGTACATGAGAGCAAAATAAACCTTGAATCCTTCCGGGCTCGTGACCACCACTCCTCCTCCTGCTCCTTTCTTGCTACTCGACCCGTCAGTAGCCAACGACCACCACTCAGCCTCGGGATCCGCAACCTCAGGAGGTCGGGTATCCCGGGCGGTGCACTCGACCAAGAAATCAGCAAGGGCCTGACCTTTGATAGCTGGTCTTGGTCGGTATTCGATCGCGTACACTGTGTCAACATTAACGCCCACTTAACTAGGCGGCCGGATGATGAAGCGGTTCGGAGGACTGGGCCGATCGGCTGATCGGTCAACACGCGAATTGCTCGACCTTGGAAATAGGGAGCCAACTTCTTCGCGGCAATGTATAAGGCGTAGACGACCTTCTCTAGCCGGGAGTACCGGAGCTCGGGACCATGTAGCGCGTGGCTTACATAGTACACCGGTCGCTGGACCCCTTCCGGATCGGTTCGGCACAACACTGCGCTTACTGCACGATCGGACACGGCGAGGTACACGTCTAGCTCTTCTCCGAGCTCAGGCTTTGAGAGCACGATCGGTGACATGTGATATTCCTTCAGCTCTTCAAAAGCCGCTCGGCATTCTTCGTCCCAGACGAATCCATTAACCTTCCGCAATACCTTGAAGAAAGGTAAAGCGCGCTCGGCTAGCTTGGAGAGGAACCGGCTGAGGGCTGCCAACCGACCGGTCAATTGCTGGACTTCCCGAACGGTGGAAGGTGGTTGCATGTCCAAAATCGCTTTTACTTTGGCCGGGTTGGGCTCAATTCCTCTCTTGGTCATCATATAGCCGAGGAACTTGCCGGTCTGAACCGCGAATGTGCACTTGGTCGGGTTCAGCCGCAACTGGTACTTCCTCATGATCTGGAAGCACTCCCGGAGGTCCCGAGTGTGGTCGGACCGGTCCCGACTCTTGACCAGCATGTCATCGATGTAAGCTTCCATCGTTCGGCCCAATAGGTCGGCGAAGAGCATGTTGACCATCCTCTGATAGGTCGCTCCTGCGTTCCGGAGGCCGAACGGCATCACTCGGTAACAATACAGCCCGTCCGGGGTCACGAAGGCTGTCTTGCTCTCGTCTTCATGGTGCATCATGATCTGATGGTACCCCTTGAAGGCATCCATGAAGCTCATTAATTCGGCCCCGGCCGTCTCGTCGACCATCTGGTGAATGCTCGGTAGAGGATACGGGTCGAGCGGACAGGCCTTGTTGAGGTCCGTAAAATCGATGCACATCCTCCATGCTGGGGGCTTAGGAACAAGAACGATATTTGCCACCCACTCGGGATAGACCACCGGACGGATGTGCTCGATCGCCGCCATCTTTTTGACTTCTTCTCTAACAAATTGGCTGTGGGATCGACGGCCAATTTGTGACAGATGACCGATCGATCGATCCCGGGCATGTCTTCAGGCCCCCACGCAAAGATATCAGCATACTCCCGGAGTATGGCCAAAACTTCCGCTCGAAGCTCGGGGGTGAGGGCTCGGCCAATCTTGATTTTCCTATCCGGGCGGTCCTCGGACAGGGGAACCTCTTCTATTTCTTCGGAAGGCTCAGGTTGTTCCTTCCGATCCTTAGCCTCCTCCTTGGCTATGGTGTTCACCCGGGAAGATGGACCGGAATCGCGTCTATTAACCGCTCGGGTGTAACATTTCCGGGCGGATTGGACATCGCCACGGACCACACCGACCTCATTGGGGGTGGGGAATTTCATGCACAGGTGGGGCATAGAAATTATCCCACCGATCTTCATAATGGCGGGTCGGCCCAAGATTATGTTGTGGACGCAATGGAGGTTGACCACAACAAATTCCAGCTCCGTTTTGATCGACTTTGGAGGTGCGCCGATCTCGACCGGGAGCGTTATTTTTCCCTCGGGGTAAATAAGAGCCCCGGTAAATCCTGACAGTGGTACACCGACCGGAGTCAGCTCCTTCCTGTCGAGGCCAAGCTTCTCAAAGACGTCCAAGTATAGGACGTTCACACTGCTGCCCGTATCGACCATAACCCTCTGGACGTCTGTCCCCTTAACATCAATCGTGACCACGAGCGCCTCCATGCCGTGGTCACTGCTGCTAGGTTGGTCTTCAAGGGTGAAGGTTATGGGCTCCATCTTCTGCCTCTTCCCGGTCTCCCGGGAATCCACTATAGCGACTGGGCAATTGGTCCGCGGTCGGGAAGCATCTTCCAGCCCACCAAAAATGACATGGATGGTAGGCTTTCCGGACGGGCGGCTACCAGACAGAGGGTCAGGGTCCCGTCGGTCATCATGACGATCGTCCCTTCGATCGTCTCTTCGGTCCTGACCTGATCGATCAGAGCGGTGGTGAGAACGCCTGTGATCTCTCCGATCGGTATTCCTCTTATTGCCTTCTCTCTTCCCCACGCACTTGTCCAATTTTCCCATGTTAAGCAGATCTTCCAACAATTGGCGCAAGTGGGTACACTCCTCGGTGTCATGCCCGGCGCATCGATGGTAAGCACAATGCT